CCCCGTTCACGATAGCACGAGACGTGATAGCATAGCACATGACAACACATGCGACTGATCACGCGACACATTCGCTTCGTAGCATCCTCGAGTGCAATTACACGGTTGCTAATGAAGTCCTCTCGTTGCGTTCGGCATTCATCGGTGACATTAACAGGAGTGACGGTGAAAAAGAAACGGCCTCTTGGTGGATTTGGAGGAATATGCCGGGATTAAAATAAACATGCGTAAACATTCATCCCGTGCGCGCGTTTTATTGTGCAGCAATAAATAACCGGCCTCGTCATTACTGTTACCGTAAATTTACAAACCAACGATCATTGGAGATTCACATTCTCCGTTCATTTCCCTCAAACTAGACACGCTCGCTGATAAAACGTCTTAGTTGCACATTTGCGGAAGAATATATAACAGAATTTATGTAACATATACACATTGGATTGAGTCGTAAGTGAATTTTACAAGTGCTTCCTAGTATCGATACTAGTTCGATTTCAAGAGAAGGAACTCGTTTCCTCTGAAATGCCTTAGAAAAGATAGCTTTATGACTCAATCTGATAGAAATATCTGAAACTTTCCGATACTGTATCCGAGATACCCAACTCAGAGATACGCGAGAAAGAAAGACAACGTGCGTGCACGGTGTAAAATGTAAAAGACCTGTTAAAAAATAAAAATCTGTTAACCGAATAACCGAGGAAGGTCGACGACGAGACGTGTTAAAAACTCGAGTTATAAATCTGACGAACATTGGCCTCGTCTTCAGGTCACGCGGCCTTGACACTGAGGAGCCGGCTGAGATGTATCATCATGCGAAAAGGCGAGGAGAACAAGGAGTCGAAGCCGCCGACGAATCTTCTGGTGCTGAACGAGGTCGTTGTTGATCGTGGTCCTTCCCCTTATCTCTCCAATATCGACCTGTTCATCGATGGAAAACACGTGACCAGCGTGCAGGGTGACGGTCTGATCGTCAGCACTCCTACAGGATCCACGGCGTACGCTGTTGCCGCTGGGGCTAGCATGATTCATCCTTCGGTACCTGCGATCATGATCACGCCGATCTGCCCTCACTCTTTGTCCTTCAGGCCGATCGTCGTGCCCGCCGGCGTCGAGCTGAAGGTATCTCTGAATTTTTTCCTCCACGCCTTCCTTTCGAAGAGGCCTTTTATAGGCAGTGCAGGTTTTCGGTGAACGAATTGCCAGAAACGAAATTCCGTGTCCGTGAGTAATGTATCGACACGTTCTTGTGGAAAAATTTCCAAACTTTGAAAACCATTTGAAAACCAGTCTTCCGTTTGCAATTCTTTCAACGAACGTTTCGTTGTTGGAGAACGGATCTCAGAGTCCTTCTCTCTATCAAACGCCCTGCAAGCGTTCGTATGGTACACGCAGTATTTCCGCGTGGTTCAATGGAGAGGCAAGCTTATCCGTGGTACACGTTACTGCCCCATAGAAGGAAACTTGGTCCCGTTGGATGTCGCCCGCATTCTCAGACCATGCGTTGCCCTTTTGTCGTACTTTTTGAAAAATTCTCGCGGGGCATGCTCTGTAGAACGCTCGCTGCAACCATTGAAAAATTGGACCAGGTCTGAAGAGAGACGAAACGTCTCTTGATAATGTGTTTCTCCTGTCGATTAATTCTCCTACTTGTCTCTTCTATCGCAGATCTCTGTCTCGCCGGACAGCAGGAACACCTCATGGGTGTCCTTCGACGGTAGAAATAGACAGGAGCTGTTCCATGGCGACAGGTAAAAATCAATCGCTAATTAGATCTGTCTAATCGTGTGCGTTTTCTCGCGATTGCAGATAATGGCTAACAGCAACGCCCGCAGCACAGCTTACGTCTCCTTCGATGGTCGCAATCAGCAAGAGCTACGAGTCGGGGACAGGTCTGTCCTCTTATTTCGTAAAAAGACTATGGTCTTCTTTCTTCATTCGCGGCAACAGTGGGTGCTGTAATCCTTCTGCGACATTCATTCTCAAACTTCGATCTTGCTTCTTAAGTTCTTCATCTGTTTTTCTCTCTCTCTCTATCTCTCTGTCTCTCTTTATCTCTCTGGAAACTAGGGTTAATTATTATTCCTTGAAAAGTTTCTCTCTTACGTAGTGATCATCGGTGAAAGATGGAATATCTCGGGCTATTCCTTCTTTTTCTAAAAACGAGACGTTGGCTGTACTGCAAAGCTGTACTACATTCCTCATGCTTCATCCACCGCTACTCATCATCATCATCTTCTATCGTCCTGTAACATGTCTTTTATATGCATCTGTGCAGCTGACCAAATCACCGATTGGTTCGACTCCCTGGCGGAGTGCCTGCACTGGAACGTTCGCAAAAAGCAAAAGCACCTGGATGAACTGAGCGACTTGACCCATTCGTCCAGCAACGACACGTTAGACTCTTTGGACCGCGACAGCTAGGCCTAGCGAACGAGTCACAGCGAACTGTTTATCGAGATCTGAAGAAAGTCAGTGACTCGTTGCACAAATTCACTTGGCTTTGTCGAGATTGCAAGAGAATGAACTCATCGAGTAGTCGTTTCGATAGTACTTGAGAGAGACTCATATATACGCGTTCGTCGTCCAAGCATGGATCAGTGACGTTCAATCTCTACGGCATAGAGAGAAACAGAAAATATCTCGACGGGCACTTCGACAGCGTGTTAACCCGAGAGTCACGTTAGAGAAAGAAATGTTGCTTTTCCACTTTCTGTGAGACAAAGGTCAGCGAGGTCTGCGTGAATCCAGTGCCCTGGGAAGCACAAAAGAAGTGCTTTTTTTTTCGTGTTCAACGCATAATCACGTACGCTCCGCAACGATGTTACACTCTGATTCGCGCAAGTCATCTTTAAACGGGTCTTACTTCGGGTTTTTCTTTTTCTTTTTTTTTCTCTAAGTAGTGTTGGGTATAAGAGTTTACAAAACGCGTAAAAGTATGCAGAGGTGGAATTGTAAAGGATATGTTAACGATTAGAGTATTGAAAAAGTTGTTTATTAAACGTTATGCTTGATATGGAAAAATTTAATCGTGTAACTGAAAAGACAGACTGAATGATTAACCGGTTAAACAAATCTGAAGCAAGGGGAAGAAGTGTTGAGAAAGAGGATTTCACGTGAAACATTCATGTTTATTTATTACACACTCGTGTTTCTTGGTGCATTTCAAACCATCGACCTAAATGAATTACTGTTTTTCATACATGAATATGAATTTGGTTTGGTGATTGCAAATAAAAAGAGCACACGAGCATGGATCAATCATTGAAAATGTTGTTGTCTGTAATATTTTTACATTTTAACAACGAACACGGTACAGTTACTGATCATTCTGTTGTAAATGCTGAATGTACTTATCTTATAAACATATGTATGCTGTACCAGTTAGATTGTATTTCCCCTACATATTTTGATAAAACTCATTTTTGTACAGAATATACGGTTCATATTATACTGATAAATGATAATTAGTGTAATGATTAAAAATAACCACTTGAAAAGTGGCACAAAGACGTAAAACCTGATAAGGAAATGAAAACAATTTATTGTGTACAACACGAGGGAACCTACTAAGATGTAAAATTATATTAAAAGACATATTAGCTCAAAATATAAGTAATGCTAAAAATAATTTGTGGAATGATAAATATATAGGCATAAATGATGAAATGAAATCAACAGAGAAGGTATTTCAAGTGGATAAATGCTAGAAATAAAGCCTAAAGCGTCGAAAGGTGCAAAGCATTTGGCACGGTAATTCTAAAAATGCATTTTATATATTTGTACATGTACAAAGTACTATGTCGTTTGGTTAGATTTCTTGAAATACCTTGTTTTGCCACTAAAATGCAATAAAACCATAAAGGACAATATAAATATCTTATAAGAGGTAAAGATCAAACTTAAAATGTGCCCGATGTAAAGGCATTTATAAGTTTCGACATCGATGCATTTATTTTTGTACAACCAGGCAATTAAATATACATTATATACAACAATCATGAAAGATTTGCAAGAACATGTTGCCTCCTTTGTTAAACAATAACTGTGTATAATAGTAAGTAGCATAATCTTTTGGGTGGACCATTACAACCTAAGAGAAGCAAGATAAGGCACTTGGTGCACATTAAACTCTCTGGTAAAATGTAAATTTCTGCTTGTAGCTCCACCCAAAATATAATAATAAAGAGCCTACACGGCTCTGCGCTGCTCAATTAATTAACATAAAACATAAATATCTACCTCTAAGCTCTTACATTTGGTTGCATCAGTCGTGGGCATGACGTGTACACGCGTGTGCTACGTTGCACGTACATGTGCATACAGGTCAATATAGTAATCTAATAGCTAATCTAATCAACGATCTAATCAATATTATCGATCTACCGGTTCACTTTCACTGGTATCTACACTCGTTAAATCGTACTAAAAAAAATCTAACTCTAAAATTACCCGGAAAATGGCGAGTACCAGCTTGAAAGCCAGCCACAACGCAGTCGCTAAGAAAAACGATACGAAACAATAAAATACAACTTACCATTAGTGAACTTAAATAACGAGGCGCCTCATCGTTAACTTAACGTCTTCTTTAAATTAAAAAAACAGTCTATAATAGAACTTTTACCGGGATCAAACGCACTTTTTCACTCGTTCACCACTGTTACACTTTTCGCGCGTTTTTCACTCCACTTGAGACTAATTTGAACAGTGGAGGGGATAAGCCAGTCAATTGTTTTCATGTAGAATCTAATGCGCATTTAGAACGATAGATATCGACGAAGATACGATTATCTTATAAAAAAGATTGAAAATTTTCCTGGACATATCGATGCAATCTACGAACATAGTTTTGCACGAGGAACCATAAGAAATTAAGTCTTTTGCATTTTCACGAGGAATTTAAAAATATCGATCCAATCGATCAACCTGTCACGTCCTGAAAATTACTACCCTTTCCGTAAAAATACATACTGCTCTCTTATTGGTTCTCACGTATAAACCGAGTGATAGTTGAAACGTGGTGATCAATGTTCCTCGTGAAAATAATTCCGTTTCCTTATTGTCACGAGAATAAAGTGCGTAATTAACGATTGTCTATTGTTTAACGACGCGTAAGTGTTTTTCCCATCGCTCTAGTGCCTGCAGTTCACGTACGTCTCTGTTTTGCCGTTTACGATGCGAACATAACGAGTACAGGCTCGTACGAAGAGTGCAGGTACTCGCTGGTCTGTAAATAAGAGAAAAAAAAAAGGACTTGTTAGTACACTTTACAACGAACCACACTCGAGAAAAACACTCGTAACCATGTCAAAGTCATCGTGAGATCAAATTGTAATCTTCGAGAGTCCATCTTAAAAGAACAACGTATATTTCAAAAAATTTCCGCTACACGTCATAGACGAAGGTAGCCATATTGAAATCGAAATTTGATCTCACTATGACGAATCTTCTATGACGAAGCTTCAAATTGGCGCCAAACCACACAGCATGACCGAGGTGCAGCATATCTCAAACAATTGTGCTAGAATCGTCTGTTGCATCTTCCAAATCGTCTAACCATATCTAAATTATCATCCAAGTTGGTTATGGCACACGGTGTTAAATATCACGCAGGTATGCAAGCGTCACAACGGAGTTAGTATTGTTAGAGCACACACTCACATGCCTTCTGATCTGAATCCTGGTCGGCGCAAGACGGTTGCTGAATATACAAAGCCGGTTTCAACGGTTTTCCATCCTGATCTTCAACCTGAATCACCAAACCATGGTTACTTCCGTTTCCATGTGAATTTCGTGGATTTAATCTCCAGAAACGAAGACCTTGCCTAACGTCCAACGCCAGATGTGTGCCTTTCGACGTGAGCGGCGTCACCACGGAATCCATCAAACGTTTCTTCGCTATTAATACGAATTTTTTTTTTTCTTTTAATCTGTACAATTCTAAAATTATAGAAATAAAAAGAAGCTACGTCAGTTGAAAACCTACATCGATGCCTCTTCAACGACTTCGTATAGTAAAACACCGATATCCTGATCTTCTTCTCGTCTTCCTCTTCCTCGTCGAACGTTCCCTCTGAAGAGGACGTAACGTTTTCCTGGGGTAACTTGAAGATTCTCAATTTCGCGGCGATAACGTGGTCACCGGAAGTGAGGTTCAGCTGGAAGTGCATGTTCATGGAGAACGGGTCCGCCCATGCATCCTGGTCCGTGTTCCGTGGAATCTGGCCTGATCAGGATGATGAAACTTTGAACCTCGTTTACACACGATTGTCTAAATGCATTTAAATAATTAACGAATCGATCGTGTAACTTACAGGTGGGCGAGAACATGGTCAAGCGTTCGCGTTGAACCTGATTGGTGTTGGCGCTGAGATTGAATCTTCCTGTAAGAGCCAGGACGCGGGATTTGATGTCCTCGATGGCTTTTTCACCCTGGCTGCACAGAGAAACGAAGATTCGTTAGCTGGTAGCGGTAAAATCTGAACGAAGAATGGGGGAAAAAAAACCCACGGCAATTGAGAAGAAAAGGGTTACGGTATATTTGGAATTTATTAGTAGGTAGGGATTGAGAACGTGTGTATAGAGAAGTAGGCGTAGAATTTCGTGTCCGGACGGGTGACGTAAAAATTTTCACCCGAAGACGTGTGCAAGCTCTTCCGGGTACCAAGCCAGGCCAATGGACGGTGGTCAGTGACCTACATAGCCCATGGTGTGGGTCAGAGGTATTTATTATACGTTCTAGACATTGACTAGACAGCAGTGGTACCCGCTCGTCTAGCCAGGGAACTGTTAATACATACGTGCCGTGTCTGGTACCTCGTTGGTACCCCTTTATTAAAATAAATTGTCTCCTTTACCTTCTAATCATCTTCATCCCAACTTGAATAAAAACACTCTGACAATTTTAATTCCTCGAGAGAAAAAGACAAAAAAAAAAAAGGAGAAAGATACGTTTCACCTAGTCATCGTCGAAAGGAAGAGACTTTGGAGCTTCCTGATGAGGTGAGATTACGGGATTGCATAATGGAGGAGCTCGAAAGTCGTTAACCGTTGGAGGAAAGAAAGAAAAGAAAAAGGAAGAACGTCTTCTTCGCGTCACTGGCAAGGATTGCTGCGTCGGACGCCCACTTGGACTTTTGATCACATCGACGACCTCGTTGTTGCTTTTCTTAAACAATGAACTGGCCATATCCACGAGGATGTCCACGGTCAACTGGATAACCGTGAAGAACGTGGAAGAACTTTATCCGTCAGCCTCTCTGTTCAGCTTGTCCTACTTTATTATTTTCTTTTTTTTTTCTCTCTTTTTTCTTTTTCTCTTTATTGAAACAGGAACCCCCTTCAGGGAAGCGGAAGGTCTGAGAAGGCGTGGAGAGCACGAAATCTCGCCACGAAATCTCGACGGGTTGTATTCGATTCTAGGCATGCTCGTTAATCTAGCCGCGTCCAAGTCACGCATTCTATAGCGTCTCGTTGCGTACGTGTCACGTCTGTCTGCCGTCTGGGAAAGGGAAGGACTCGGGTGTCTGGAGGCCGTTGCATCATGAGAATGAATCCAGTGATCCTTCCTGAGTACCGTATTAAGAAAATTGGCTGCGTTACGCCGGTTTTGTAACAGCCTTCGGAGCGAACACGAACCACCGTCGACACACGTGGGAATCTAAACAGGAGGATTTCTTCGATTTCATCGATGTACAGTCGATTCACCGTGGAAATTCGAGGAAAAACCCATCGACCGATGTTTCTCCAACAATTAACAAACAGCTGCTAATGAGAACTGAAGAATTACTCGGAACCTCGACGAGAAAGATTTTTAATTAGAAAAAGAAAAAAAAAATTGTAGAATCATTGTTTTTTCAACAGTTTCTTTATCGAGTATCTTTCAGGTGAGCCCCGGGATACGAAGTAGGTTGCTAAGGATCGCAAATCAGCGCTAAAGGAAGAGAAGTGAAATGGCGGGGGTCGTAAAGCGTTTCGCATACCGCGGAACGGTGATTGGCGACCGCCAAAAAATGCATGTTGCATCGTCTGGCGGTGAGGTGGGGAGTCACTGGCGAAAACTTCCTCCTCTCTCTTCGTCGCGCTGCCTCGCATCGTCTTCGTCCGCATAGGAAGAGAGACGCATAGACAAGGTCAGCGCATTAAATTGAAATGTGTTACATAATCTCGTAAGAGAGCAGTCCTAACTGCAGTCTGACTAGACACCCGGTGATTACGACGGTGCTCAACCTTCTCTTCGCGAGAGATGGTTGTGCATTGGAGAGAAGAAAAGAAAAAAAAAGTAAAATAAATCGGTCTGTCTGATGCGTCAGAACCACTTTCCCTTACCTCCTCCTCCCCCTAATCACCGGGTCATCGCGTCCTTAATCTGTGTCATTCTCGTTGAATAACACGCGTGTAACCCTTCGTGGATGAAGTAACAGCAGATTACATTCTTATTGTACGTTTTTTCTCCTTCTCGATCTGTGTGCGACCATGAGTTAGCCCTTGAAGGAAAAAAGAAAAAGAGAGTAGGACTCACCGCACACACCGGCCCGGCCAAGAAGAAACGCGCGGAGGCTCGAGGAAGAGGCGGAACGAGCGGTACACCGGAGGAGGACTCTCCAGAGCAGGCTACGCCAGTGCCGACACGAATGCATTTACGCGTCTAGACTTAATAAAATAAAAGAAACGCCTTCGCACCCGCGCGAGCGCGAGCGCGAGGGGCCGTGGTGGCGAAGAAGGAGGGCGATTTAAAAACATAGCTAGGGACTACGGCGGAATTTCCACCGCGGGCGCGCGTCCTTCCTGGCTCTGTTCACCGTCGCGTCCTCTTTGCTTGCGCGCAACACGCGCGTGTATTTCGTGTAAAATCATTCTACGTCTTCGCTTCGGTAAATCATATTTTTTTCTTTCACTGTTACAAGGACAATTTTTCCAACCGTCCCGTGAATCACATGGGATGGTTGGGTTTTAATAATAGACCACCCTTTCCTCTCGACGCGACGTTGACGTTGTTGTACAGCGTGGTATTCGTGGTAATTTATTACGGTGTGTTTTTAATTCTTCTTTGCTTTTTCGATTTTTTATTTTTGTTTAGGAGAAGGTTGAACAGCAAGAAGGAGAGAGAGAGAGAGAAAGAGAAGCGGGACCCGGTGGTCAGCCGGAGGCGCAGAAATTCAGTGGCGCTTCGCGGCTCCTTCCTTTTCGTCGCGATATTTTTACGGGCCATCGAGATATTTTTACGTGGCGGGGGCAATGATTCGTCGAGAACGTCTTTGTGGTCAAGTATTCGCGTGCACGATGCCTGGGTTACGTGGTCTGGAAAACCACGCTCGCCTTTTTTCCTCATCGCGAGGAATTGTAAAAGAGGAGATGAAGCAGGTTGGCTGGACGAAGAGAGAAGAAAACTAAAGGGGGGGGGGGAAGCGCGGGTCGTTACACCTTTGCGACAGACACAACATGCAGACACAACACACCACCGACAAAGAGGGAGAGAGAGAGAGAGAATAAACTTCTCCTGTTGTTATCGCAATAAATCGTGTCTCATGCAATACGAGCAATGAGATAATCGTAATGAGAGAATGTATTTTTAGATTATGCAAGCCAAGCCAGAAAGAAAGCAGCCGGTCTGTCTGGAGAGCAAAACGAAAAAAAAAAAAAAAGAAAAAAAGAATTCTCTGGTCTGTGAATTTTTATTCGGCACACCGTGTCCCTTACCCATAAGCCATCGGGGTGAGGCTTACCTGTCGAAGCTTGAGGTTAGGTTTCCTCTAAAAGACACAAAAAGCACAGTTTGTAGATGATACCAATCCTGCGTTTGCTACATTGCAAAGCAGAGAACACACGACCAACGACATTTAACGTGAAATAATGAATGAGAAAGGGTCAAGCTGTCTCTCTAGACCCTCCTATATCTCCCCGTGAAACAAATCTGTACGAAAGTTTTGATAAAAAAAGAAAAAGAAACGAATCGATCTTGATTATCGTAACGACGAAAAACTGAAGCACAGACTTGAGAAAAAACATCGAACCATTTTTCCAACATAGATCGACTGACTTACCCTCGTCGATGAGCAATCGCCACTTGCAGATAGGTAGACAGGTTTGCCAAAGGAAGATTGCTAGCGGACGTGTTGTTATTGGCCGTGAAGAGCTTGACTGAATCGGGAGTGTCGTTCTGATACTCCGAGGTGTCGTTCTCGTTCTCCTCCATGGTCCAATTCAGCCGGGAATCGCGGCTAGAGTCCTCATAGTCGGACGTCTCGTTGTCCTCGGTGTTCTCGAATCCCAAAGAGTTGGCGAATTCGGGGATCACCCTGTAAACGTCGTCCTCGACCCACTCGAGACCCTCGTACTCGCTGATCTTCTTACTTCCTCTAGGTTTCTCGTCACTCTTCGAGACTTCTGCTTCGTTGGTAGAATTGTCGGTATTGCCAACGATACTCGTCTTATTCTCATCCCTGAAGACTTCTTCAAGTACGCTACTCGACGTGGTACTCGTGGTACTCGAAGTCGAAGATGCGGTCGTGGTAGAGTAATCGTTATTTAGATCGTTATCCTTACTGTTAGGGCTAGTCAAACGATAGACCAGAGGCAGAGTAGCAGCAGTAGTTGAAGGGATCGTGGACGGTGTGGACGCATGAAAGGAATTACCAGCACTCCTCGAAGTAGTGTGCCTCACACTCGAAGATGCTCGATGCTTGGACGTTCTGAGATGATTTTTGCTATTCTCGTCGGAGCCTGAACTAGAATCGAACTCGGAATCGTCGTAGCGTATCTTGAAGACCACGTGTGGCTCCATGGCTCTGTCAAAGTCACGATGAAGATTCTGACCGATGTCCTCTTCCTTCGAAGCTTTCGTAGTCTCCTCGTAATCGGCGGCTGTGGGTTCAGACCAGGATTGTTGAAATTCTAGATTAGAGGACAGGTTCTCGTAATCGAGGATCGCTTGTTTGTTGTACGCCTCGAAGTCGAAGTCCTTGTACAAAGAACTGTCCACGTGTCGATTCTTTTTACCCGGTTTATCGACGTCCTCGAAGTCAGGATTTCTGGAAGAAGTACGATCCATGGAATTCTTGTCCCAGTGTCTATTCTTCTTCTCGTCTCCGTACAACGTCTTCGCCCGTGGTTTCATACTTTCCTTCTTCCTCGATTCCTCCTCCTTCTTCTTGCTCAATTCTCTCTCGCGAATCGCTAGAACCTCTTCTAAACTGTAATTCAAGCTCTTCAACAATAACATGTCACCAGTGCTCAGTTCACCGGTGATTATCTTCAGTATAGCCTTCTCCAGCATCTTCTCCAGCCTCCTCTCGCTAAACGGTATCGCGATCTTAGTCTCTTCATCGTTGAAATCTCTCTTGTTCTTTTCTCCTTCGGAAGACACCACGTTCTCCTCGTTCCTAGCTGTGTACCTTTTCACGTGCTCCACCAGATCCCCCTTATTATTCCTGTCCTCTACGTGGACACCGCGACGGTGATGGTGACACGACACACCGTTCATGGTCGAGGCGACCATCAGCCACACGAACACCCCGAAGAACCCCATAATTCCAACGGGAATATCTTCCTCTACGTTCGATCCTTCCTCCTTTCCCTTCTCTGTCAAGATCTTTCGTAAACAACAAACGGTACCACTTGTTTACGAGATTCAGTTCAATTTATACCACTCGGACTGTTTTCGTTTTCTCTGATAAGATATCTCATCGATTCGCAGATATTTGCGCCACTATTATCGATCGATAGATCTCTCCATGTTTTCTTTCTCTCTGTTTCGGTTCCTTTCTCCCCCGATAAACGATCTGAACCCCCTTCGATGCGAAATCGCTATCTAAACGCGCGAACGACCCATTGCAGTCGCGCTCGAAGAAGCGTTAACAAAACTGTCTGAGCCTGTTTGATCCGGTGGTGCGGCTTGTACTAGTCTAATCGCAATCAGGAAGCCGCGATATATGTAAGTAGGAAAGAGAGAGATTCGTGGCATGCGTGTGCACCGGCTGAGCAGTAAGTCTCAACTGAGCCGAGCTGGCCTGCTCACGGACATAATTCTGTCTACTCACTAATTCCGAGACAAGCACGAAGCCGCGAGAGGAGACGCGCCGGTGTGTTACTACGATCACTCCTTTTTTCTTTTTTTTTTTTCCTTCCTCTCTTCTCTCCTTCGGTGTCTCTCCTTTCTCTTTCTCTCACCCTGCTCTGTCCCACTCGCTCCACCCGCCGCGCGCGCGTGTGGTAATCCCTTTCCCTCGCTCGCCGAAATCCCGCGGACGACTGCCTTTTCTCTCTCTACGCGACGTTTTATCGTCTTCTTTTTCCCCGTTTACTGTTATTTTCTTCTTCTTCCTTTCTCTCTCGCTCTCTCGAAAGGAAGAAACTTGGTCGCACACCACACTTTGACGTTAGGTGTTACGTGGCAATTTTTCTTTTTTTCCTTTCCAAAGATGTCACGATACTCTCTGTCCGACAGATTTGCCGGAAGGAAGACGAGGAGCAGGAAGTAGAAGACGATGCGAACGGCGGAGGCGGAGGATTTTGCGTGAAGATTCGACGAAGAAGAAGGTGGAAGAGCGAGAAATGAGCGAGTAGGCACCTTGTATTCGGCTGCTCGTTTCAGGGGCAGCCACATACGACTTTATAGGGTGTCTCCCTCTCCGCCGTCTAGACGAATCGAAAGATATGATCTTTGAATCATAATGTATCGCTTTTAATAAATGCAGCCTCCGCGTGCGTGCGTGAAAATACGATGCGTGGCAAAGCACGTCGACGACGGGGCCCAAAAAGAAGAACGGGAACGAGGAAAGGGGCAAAAAAAAAACAAGCCGAGACCTGGAGAGAGAGACACTGAAAGCAGTAGGGGGAGGAGAACGGAGCGGAGGGAGGAATACGCGTGCTGGTGATCGAGGAGGATCGAGGACCACGAAAAATCCAAAGTGAAATCAGGAGAATTTTCCACGACTCTGTCCGCCACGAGATTTCATTTTTTATCTCTCTCTCTCTCTCTGTTTTCGCATAAGGAAGAACAGATCGGAATGGTAAATGTACAGTTTTGAGGTCGTTGTAGATCGAATATGAGAATTGGGTTAAAGGATTCGGTTCTCTGAACCTGTCTAACGGTGGTCACACATGCCTGTCGAGAGAAATTTTATTCGCGGCAACGAATTCTACTGTACTCTCCGTGTAAGATTAACCCTTTACCTCGTAACGATCAAAGGAAACAATTTTGTAATCGAACTTTACCGAAGCAAAGGGTTAATTGATTTTGCGTAGAATTGTAAGAGCGTGGAGGAATTTTGGACCAGGTTTCTCTGCCAGGTCTTCCTCGATTTGTCTATAATCAGCCGGAGGTGTGTCGTAATATGGAATACTCTATATCGATGATTAATTCCTGTTGGCGATCGGCCAGGGTAAACTTCACTCTATTCTACGTCTCGTCGTTCTCGTGGCTCGAGATGCCTGGAAAATTCAGAATCGAATTTTCGTTGTCGGGAGTGGACGGCACACATGCTTGGTCGCGGCCACAGAAAGGGTAAATTTAGCCGGGTGGCGGATCTTTCTGGAGTAGTGTCGAAATCGCCATGCAGTAGTGTCTTTTACTCGTGGAAGAGGAGAGAGAGAGAGAGAGAGAGAGAGAGAGAGAGAGAGAAGAAAAAAAGAAAAGACGTGTAAGGCCCCAATTATTCAACCCCTGTTGCAGCAAGACTTCGCTCGTTGCGTTTAGATCACGCGTGCATATGATCGCGGGAAGACCGCCGCGTTTACACGCAGACACGTGCACGCATTTAAATGTAGAGAGAAAAGGAGAAGGGGTGACGGATGAAGAAAGAGATAGAATGCAATTTGATACGAGGAGAATCGTTGCTTGTCTTTCTTTCTTTCTCTCTTTCTCTTTCTTCGCCAACGATGCAATCCAGTCGCGTCTGACGTCACCTCCGAATCCTCCGTCGCGATTCGGACGTACGGACAGACAATCTGGCGTCTAGACGTACCAAAATAAATAACGCGGGGCCTTGCCTCGCCATCAAACTGTTGTTTGCACTCGTAACACTCATCCGTCGGCCTTGTCGGGCCCCCCCGGCCGCGGACGGGGATGAGGAATAGAACGGAACCGCCACGGAACCGGACCGCCTCCTATTAATCTCGTTCGACCGGCTAATCTCGACGAGATTGCCAGTGGAAAATTCGGCGCTGATCGAGGACTCTTGGTCCCTTGCAAACGTTCGCTAGAAAGTGGAGATTTACATTTGATAAAACTGAAGTTTGTAAACATTTTGTCGTAATTATTCGAGGGATGAAATTCACGGTAGACCGGCGAATGTGGAGCAGTGTGTGTACGATGGAAGAATTCGTGGAATCCCATAGAGACATTTGGAAGTCTGGACGGCTGGTTGTTTGGCAGACTGGAGACAGAGCCAGGTGATCTGCATAATTCTTGCAGCGTGTCGTCCTGCGTCAGATCGACGGAGTCATCGATTGTTTCGCAGAAGGCAATGACGGCAGCGGGGCCGCGCGACAGACGTCTGCCGGGGGGCTAGGTTCGATGACTTTCTCCGTGGGTCTAAACTCCGCGCTACTTAGGCATTTCCCATAGAAAGGCGGCTAGAATAAAAACACACAGAGAGAAGATAGGGAAAAAAGTGTCTCTACGTAGGACTGCGAATTAATCGGAGCAATTATTCGACGAGTTTCACGGGAGTAATTTCGCAACGAAACGAAGAAGATAGAATTTTCTTGGTATCACCGACGTCAAACGCTTCCCATGTCGTTTACAAATTGTTTCTGCGGTTGGAGTTGAAACTCGACGAGGAATATACTTGGAAGAAGAGAGGAGAGGCCGAGAGTCGATCAGCCAGCGCGAGAAGACGCAGAAAAAGAGGAGGAAAAAAAAATGGAAATGGTGAAATTTGCATGGCTCGGGCACATCTCTTTCTCTCTCTCTTTCTCCCTCCCCCGCCTCGATGGTGGCAGACGGAGGCAATCGAGATAAGAAGTACCTGGAAATCGGACAGGAGAGAGAGACACGAGCCTCCTCGCACGTTGCGTTCGGTGGAAAATTTGAATTTCGAATAGGATTGCGCAACAGCACCCACGCGTGGGTGCACTCGTTTCGTGTAGGTGATCCCATGATCGATCGTGGGATCGTTTGAAATCGAAAACACGGCGGGGAGAACAGAGGGACACTTGTTATAATATTCCGGTGGTAAGATATTCGAGCAAGGCCTCGCGAGATCGTGGAATTGACAAGCAACCGTTACCGGGTGCATAATTGCGAGAAATTGCTCATGCGTTATCGGCCAGTGGCACATTTTCGTTTCTTTTTTTCTCCTTCTTTTCACCAAGGTTCTGTTGTAATGTCGAGACGCATATACACGCAGAGTGTCGATCGATCTTGAGGCAAAAAGAAGGGTGAAGGTACATTTTCAGAATACTCGTGAAATCAACAGAATCCGAAAAATATTGAAATTCCACGGGAGAAAGAAAAGTCAGATGCTTTTGTGTCATTTTTCGAACGTTAGTTCAACGTTACTCTTTCTCATTTTCTTTTCCCGTCGTTAATCTGATTTTCACATTTTTCCCGATTCCGTCGGTTTCCCCCGCACCCTTCAAGCGTACTCCTACTGGCGGCAGCCTCGCGCGTTAGAGCACGATTCATAGAACGTGATCTGGTTGCGAGTGGGAGATGCGAGATAAAGTAAATTCGCTGTTGCTGCACAACTCCTTCATTCCGGTCGATTCAACGCGTGTCCAGCCGTACGAGATTAATTTCCAGCGACTGCTACCGAGCTTTCGGAAGATGATCGTCAGCCCCGATAACAGAGACATCGGAACTGACGCGGAGATGATAGGAGGACGGAATCTGACTCGTCCGGGTTCGGGAGAAGAGTCGCGTGCGCCGGCGGAAGATCGGATTCGTCGCATTCCGCCGAATCTCTAAGATCCGAGAAGATGAAGAAGAATCTAACCCTTCGACGATCCACCAGAATCGACGCGAGGCACGCTCGTAAGATCGTTCGCACAGAAAGGAAACGTCGAATCGTTCAAACTCGTCTTCCTCCTTAGTCCACGTCACGAACAAGGTGAACTACTGAAAGGATCGATTGAAAATGGAATTGCGATCGACGACGATTTAAATTGAACGTGAAACCAGTCCTTAACTCTACCTTCTCGAGGTGTGAGAGTACATCGATGAATTCGATTATTCGCGACAAATGGGTGGAGACAGCGTGCAGAGGACGCGAGTGTCCCCAATTAGAAATGCATGAAATTGCTGCGGGAACGATGATTCAAACGACGGTTGCCCGATCGGTGATAAATCCTCGGAGAGTTTCGTCCGAACGATTTTCTCTTATCGTCTGGCGTAAGAGACGGCGTAGAGATGGGAGGAAGATGAGTCGCGGGAGAAACAAGAGGAACAGGAAGAAGAAGACGTCTGTCCTCCGGATCACTCTTCAATTTTCTTCGGTTCTCGCGTGTCTTCCCTCTTAAACGACTGGCCATCTGGTTTACTGTTTCCATTCGTGGACAGCAACTACGCATTTCCGCTCCTCTGTGGGAATCGGAGTGGACTGTACAGATACGATACGTTCGGAACGAACCAGATCCATGGGACCAGAATCTTTTCACGGTCTATGATCAACGTGCAGCCTATGAGGTTTCTTATCTTCTCGGAGAGAAGATCGTGTTCCCTTCGCTCTCTGTGTCTTTCTGCTTGCGACAAAATTTTCTGTTCCCTGATTTTCGGAATATTTCCTCTGCTTCTTCTTCGCTCTTTTTTTTTTTTTTATCAAAGGCAAAACGTGACGCGCCCATGTCTGGAGATAGCATGTGTTAAACGCCACAGTGTTTATCCACAAGTTATGCTCTCTTCGGATTTCGCTATTCTCATCGGGTTTGGCACGGTGCCAGAGACCTAAAACTGGCTTGCTTAACTTCTACTACGTAGAGCAGGAAAATAGAGGAGGTGTGCAGAATTATCAAGGCCGTAGACAGTTCGGCGGATCGCTTGTCGAAAAATGCAAATTGCCCGATACCGGCTGCCGCGCACGTCAATTCTCGGTTTGACGTGGTCTATCTGGAAATAATTCCATTTTCTCTATTCTTAGAGGGCGTACACATATCTGCACACGAGCACGTACACTGTCGCTCTTAACTATGTATCCGCCTCGTCCGTTTATTTACAATCCTTCCAACGGACAAACACGTTTTATAGCCCTTGCACAACAAAGTGTAATTCCTGCGGCAAATTTACGACAGAATAAAGGGAAAAAAGGGGATCAATTTTAACCCTTTACATTCCACTGGCGCTATATTGAAAAAAAGCAAGAAAATTTTTATTTCCGAAAAATTTCATCGCAAATAGCGATGATGATGTGAGAAACTGATTAGAGTCGAAAGGGTTAATTAGGAAAAATGTTGGATTACAGATAGGAAAAACGCGGAATATCGTGATTGGATCTAGACGAAGCAGCCTTCGTCTATCTTCGTCCACTATAGCTTCCGTCTCCGTCGATTCCTGGTCGCTGTCTAAGCAGTGTCTAGGAAATCATATTCCTCCGCTGTTCGGCGTCAGATAGCGAACAAAAAACACGCGGGCCTGGTTTCCCATAAAAATTCGTATGTACGTGACTCGCGACGGAACTGCTCCCGTCGCGTCTCGCCCAGATAAGAACCGCCTCATCTTCCCGATCCACGTTGTTTTCAGCTTATCCTACATCCAATCAGGCTCGCTCTTCCCCCGGCAGTAATAATAATAACGACGATTTTATTACGAGTTCGCTTGGTGATAAAAAGAATAACAGAAGAGAAGAAAAGTGGCAGGAATTGAGAGCGGAGGAAATTACGGAGAAAGGAATTAATAATAACGCGATTATAATTGGATATTTTTTTCTCTGCTTCGCGTGTGTATTCGTGAGATGTAATTAATCAGACGCATTCGTAATGAGGTTCCAAAGGTTCCCGAAATTATTTTGCCGATCTTCATTCCGAGAAGACCTTCGAACAGCCCGGCTCGCCCATTTTTCACGCGTGTGGACAAACAGGCCCGATTGTATAATTCGATCGAAGTCACAGACGAAGAAAAAAAGGTAGCTAATGTTAGTCGAGGCTTCCGGGTGTAAGCCGTGTCCAGAAGAATCGAAAGCCTTGCAGCTAGCTTCCTCAGGGTCTGAAGACGCACCGGTACTGCTCTGCGTCTGGATGAACACTTCGATCAATTGATTATTAATCGACCGGTTAAAAATTTGATTGGTCGGAGCAACCATCTGGAACAACGACATCGGTACATATAGGAGTGTTCATCCAGACGCAAAGCAGTATCGGTGCGTCTTCAGACCCAGGAAGCTAGCTGCAATGCTGGCGAAAAGTCTTCTGGACACGACCTACACCCGGCACCCTCAACTAACATTAGTCACATCGAACCGGAAAGTATGGAAACTCTGGAAGAAAAAAGGGTTGGTTCACGCTTCAGGCGGCACCATCGTCGATCTAACCTTTTCTTATAGCGAACAGGTGAAAGTCTCGAGGCGTAGGAACGCGGCTTTGTTTCGTTATCCAGCCGCGACATAGTCGTAGTTCGCAATCAGCCTGGCGATAACGCGCTTGGGTCGCGCGAGTACCATTTATCTCGGTGAAGTTCAGCGCGAGTATCGGAGTACATATTCGGAGTATCGACGGTAAAACAAATTTCATCCTCTTTCACATCTTCTCTTCCTTTCAAATTCTCCATTCTTTTCGTCTCGAAATTCGCGTTCTCGTAAAAAAGTTTCCGCAAATAAACGATATATTTTTTTGTTCGCAAAAAAAAAAAAGAACTCTGTTAGCAGTGATTGCGAAGGAATAAACAGAATCCTCTAGCTCGCCGCGATTCTCCGTAAATTCTCCAAACTCCTTTGCAATTCTACTCGCGCCTCCCTCATTAAGCGATTGCAACTCCCACGAAGAAGGATACCTTTCCAGGTGCTCGGTGTCTCGCCGACTAACGCCGACTGCTCCTCCGCGTCCACGACAATTATTTTTTATCATCCAGGAAGGAGGCCTGTTCGTTCTCATAATTTCGTTCGCCGGCACGGCCGTCTGGTGCGCCGTTTTGCACGCGAATCGCGCTGGTATTGTTGATCGCCGCAGCGCGATAATAGTTTTCCGGTTTCGCTCGTTGCGGCGACGTCGCCGTCGTCGTTTCACGCGAGAGGACTGTCCCATGGGCGAACACGGCGGAAGAATTTTGATGGACCAACAGAGAGAAAGTATCGGCCGGCGGACGCAGACGTTCACCCTGTTAAATTGCGTTTCGCGTCGCGGTCCGTTACGACGACGCGACGCGTCGTCACGTGACCGAGGCAACGCGGGTCCGTGTGAAAGAGAGCCAGGAATTCTTCTTTTTCGAGCCTGTCACCGATACGAAATTCACGGTTCTTTTTCGGATTCAGGGCTCGTAGGGCGCTCTCGACTGGGACGGCGTGAGAATCGTCGAATTTGTCGAACGAGAAACGAAAGAGCGCGAGTTGTAATTGCTCGAATTATGCACATGCAACGAGCACGATAAGCGCAGTGACGTAGTTTCACCGCGTTATCGCGCGACAGGTGAAAAAACCTGGCGAATTCGTTTCGACGAAATTCCCTATTCCCCGCTCCGCCCTGAATTTAGATCGCGTTAAACGAGGTCAATTGCAGGAACTTCTACTACAAGTTCATTATATTGGTACCGCGACGGGGCACCCCTTCTCTCCCTAATCATCGAACCGCTGTCGACCGGCGATCATCGACAACGATCTTCGCAGTGGTACGACAGGCTTATCTGCGTGTGCACAGCTATGCGATATCTCACGCGTTCCCTAGATGTTAGTCGCATTTTTCTCACAGCAGGCGCAATTGTTGTTAATTTATATCGGTCATTGCAATCTCCTCGACCGATAAAGTTGCACCGATGAGATTCTAGTAAACATCGCAATTCGAGAGGTTTATCGCACGATTTTTCGTCGATTGAGGTGTGAAAGTACCATTTCCCTTACACGAACGCGCTCCGGTTTTCGTTGTTTTGGGCAGGTCGACTCTTATCGTACGTTATCTGGTATCTGAGCTCGACGATTGTCATACCACTTACCAGACACACACTCTCTCTCTCTCTCTCTATCCACGTAAATTATTCCCGCGTCTATGTTGGAATAATTGTTATTCCTTTACCTCGATTGCGAAGCATGCGTTAGCACGTTTCGACGACCGCAGTATCGAATCACGTCTGACAGGGGGAACACGTTTGACGCCGGAGACATGTCTGGCACTGCGAGTCCAGCGTTCGAGGTATTTTCCATTTAATATATCTTCCATACTGCACCGTACTCTTTCGTACGTCGCTTCTCTTCTTTTCTTACACTTCGTCCGCGGAAGATTTTCTTTCTCGTTCTAACTTTCACGCGAAGAATGTCGGATTTTCCAAAGGAGCTGGATTTTCCTCAAGGACTCTCGCTACAAGCTAAGCAATGTTTCATCGTTTTTTATAGAGTATCGAGTTGAACATGTTGGAGACTGGTTACCTGGCAGACGAGTCGATCAAAGGGGGCAAGGTATGCGACGTGTTTATCATTTCCACGTAAATTGCCATTGTGACAGAGGAGCGCTCTTTTGTTCCGTGGCGAACGTTGCTGTCCTTACACACGTGTCATGCTGAAATATTTTTACCTTACATCTGCCTTATCGCTTCTCGTACACAGATTAGCGTACATTCTTCAGACTTCGTTCTTTCTTCTAGGGAACGACGGAAGAAACAGCTGGTTGCTTTCGAAGATTCTACACTTTCCTCTCTAAGTATCGACGAGCCTCGAAATTTCTCTCGCTGACCTTACTGAACCTCGTGGTACTGATTTATTTCGTGTTCGCCACGATACACTGGAGAACGAACAGTAGGTTGTCAAAATTCTCTGTCTTTTCTCCGTTCTATCGTTGCTGTAAACCATATTTCAATCAGAATACCAGGACAGCATCGATTGGTGCAACGGTTACGGCCTGCTAATCGTCCTGGTAACGATCATTTACGGAGGAATACTTTATCACTTCATCGCGAAGCGTTTCCACGAAAACGCACCGAGCCGGTGCAAACTTCCGTTCCGTGATCTTCTTGAGAGTATCGAAAAAACGAGGTAAAAATTGACGTACGACGTTATCGATCGGCTGATCAGACGGGCTCGAATAAAATTCAACGGTTCCCTCTGTGTTATTTCACGCAGATACGGAGGCATAATTGGCCAGACGGTGATTTACACTTGCGTGATACTCGCCATCATTGTGTTTCTTATTATCGACACCGCGGACTCGAGGGAGAGGCTAATGAGCGGTGTCGGTGTCGTCATACTGATGAGCTTCGGATGGATATTCTCGAAGCACCCTGGTCGCGTGAGTAAACCATACCCCGGGGGATCGCTAATAGTTTTTAGCCTGCAATCTCAACGCCGGTTCTGTTATTAAAAGGAATCTGCCCCCTCTGCGTTGATCCTGTTACTCTCTTCAAGCTGGGGAAAAAAATGTGAAAAATTCGCGGAGATTCGACGGAAAGTTAAACAAATTTTTTTCAAGTCACGGGTCGGTTATCTCGTGGAAACCGTAAGATGCGGTGGCGTTAATAATTGAGCCACTCAATCAGCTCTCGATGTTCTTCTAATTTTAGAACCTTAACCCTTTCACAGTCTAATGAAATTACGTCGTGATTTTTGAAAGAAGGCTCACTTTCTTCCTAAGAGTCTCTCTTGAGCTGAACAGTTTCGCATTGTACAAACGTTCTGCTCAAGTCTCACCCGGGATAAACTGTCGAAGGGTTAATTTTTCATAAATAAAACAAATTTAACAAATTTTATTCGATGCAGTTAGCTACCTTACCTTCTGAGTGGCTGAAATATTAACGCATCATAGATCACTGCATTCGTCTTCTTCCTAAATATCGTTACAACGATCGTTGATTTTTCTTCGCTACCGCGAAAGATGTTGGACCGATCAGTTTCTAACGGGCCGCTTTGTAGCTGATTACAAAGATTCCCCTATAGAGGGGAATGTTCAATAAAAAGCGCAAGTTTCTCCGTGGACATGTTGCAATTCCGCTTGCAGCGTTTCGGTTCGATGTTTAAAACATCCAGATACTTTTGAATGTCAAATTTCACCTGGGTCCTGCATCTCGACCGGTTCATCGGCCACATGCGCTGAAATCCCGCAGATATAATGATACATTATTTAACGTGTCTAAAAGTGACGTTCATCTTTGGTTTTTGAATTCAGATCAACTGGAGGCCCGTTATGTGCGGTCTGATCTTGCAATTTCTCTTCGGCCTTCTCATAATTCGATGGCCAGTGGGTCGTTCGATCTTCGAGTGTCTCGCTGGGAAAATCGAGGGATTCTTGAACGTGGCGAAGTCAGGAGCGAGCTTCGTCTACTCCGACGAACTCGTCGATCACGGTGTCTTCGCATTTTCAGTCGGTGGATCATCTTTCTCTAAACCGTGAAATATCCGCGATTCCTCCTTCTAATCGATCGTATCAATTTCACAGACTCTTCCGGTGATCTTCTACTTCAGCTTTATCATCCAAATTCTGTATTACCTGGGCGCGATGCAGTGGGTCATCCTGAATTTAGGTCAAATTCTTCAAAGTCTCATGGGAACGTCGATCTGTGAATCGGTGATCTGTGCAGCGAATATTTTCATCGGAATGGTAAGAAGATCGGGAATATCTTTTCCGTCAATTCGAATATCGTAATCGTCGCTTCTGTTCCAGACAGAGTCTCCATTGGTGATCAAGCCTTATCTAAACAAATTGACTACTTCGGAGCTGCACACGATTATGTGCTCGGGTTTTGCCACGGTCTCAGGTAAACGAGCTTAATCAGACTTGGATTTATCAGCCTGGATATTAATCTCGAGCTTAACTTAGGAACGGTTCTGGCTGCGTACATCAAGTTCGGCGCGAATCCAGCCCACCTGATAACAGCCTCGCTCATGGCGGCACCCGCGGCGCTCTGTTACGCGAAATTGTTCTATCCGGAAACGGAGAAGAGCGAAGTCACTCCTGACAACATAAATCTAGAGAAATCGTGAGTTGTTCGAACGATCGTTTCTCGTTGGTCGGAAACTTTCGTACAACGGGTTGAAAATTGGTTTCAGAAATGACTCGAGTCTGATGGACGCTGCCAGTAAAGGCGCTATGGCGGCAGTTCCTCTAGTTTTAGGCATAATCGCCAATATAATAGCATTCGTGTCGTTCATAACTCTAACCAACGAGGTACTTTCTTGGATAGGAATGTTAGTCGGTTACAACGGGCTGAGTTTCGAAGTGAGTGAAGCTAGGGAACCACAAGGATACGTTGTTTCCTCGAAATTCTTTATCGTTTCTTTCAGTTGATCCTCTCGAAGGTGTTCATACCACTGAGCTGGATCATGGGAGTACCGTGGGACAAGTGCGAGTACGTGGCTACTCTGATCGGTCTGAAAACCGTTGTGAACGAATTCGTGGCCTATCAAGCTTTGGGAAAGTTCAAAGAACAGGGGAAGATCTACGGTAGAACGGAGGCAATTGCTACATTTGCCATCTGCGGATTCGCCAATCCTTCCTCGATCGGGATCACGCTGAGCGTTTTGTCTTCACTGGCCCCTGATAAGAAGGAGAACGTGGCCAGCGCTGTAGGGAGAGCCTTCGTGGCTGGTAGCGCTGTCAATTTCCTCACGGCCAGCATCGCTGGTAAGATCGTTAGACACTTGTTCTCGCTTCACACTGTTTTACTGACCGAGCAAACATGATTTTCAGGGATGTTGATATCCGACGACTATTATCCGGTGAATGCAACGATTGCACTGAATATGACTGCCAGGTAACGGTAATTAAGGTGCCATTGACGATTGGGTGCTAGTTAATTTCTTTTTTTTTTTTGGAAAAATATTCTTGTAAATAGATAGGGTGAAAATGAGGGAGACAGTTTTTTGACTGGACTTCATTGATATTATTATACAATATTGTTTGTTTGCTTTTTTTTCTTTTTCTTTCTTTTATATAATAGAACCATTAAAGTCGATAAATATCTCGCGGCGACCTGATTCCTCGTGAATCGTGAAATTTGTTTCTTTTATTCGTGCAACGTTACGAACGATAAATTGACTAAAACCTAGTACGATAAGTCCGCGAATCTAAGCTAGTGCGTTTTTGTACGTCCTCAGTGAATGTAAATGTGTATATATATATATGTAAGTAAAAAGTAAAGAGATATTACAAAAAACATCGACAAATATCGGTATTTTAAATGTACGGAATTGTCTCGTATGGATATATCACATTTTAAGAGCGGAATGTTTCGTGCCGCGTGCATTCCCGAGCAGCAAGAAGCGCAAGTGCAATTGTTATTCATATCCTAAACGGGATACATCTTATGGCAGATTGTGGAGTTCATGGATCTCGTAGAGATTATGCGTACGGTTGAACACGTCGGCTGTTACTTCTAACATTTTTGGCAAGACGTCGACGTTCCTTTGGACATTTGCACCGCAGACCTGAAAGAAAAAATGTATTCGTATTGAGAACGATGTATTATCCTTTTCTTTTTTCGTATCGTTTACCTTTTTGAATAAAAGCTCTCTGCTGGGCATTGTATACATGGCAACTATTGCAGCCTTTCTGATTACCCACGGGTGATGCTTGGCCAGTGTTTTATTATAAGCATCTTGGCAACAGCTGGAGGTTTTATCGCAATCTGACAGATCACCAAGTTGCCTTAAAAATTCCCTAATAAAATCTGGAAATTTAGAAAACGTTACAGCACAGAATATAAGGAATATCTGTAAAGTTATTTGTACTAGAAATAATACCTAATCCTCTGTGAAGTCTCAGCAGAGTTCGAGCACCATTCGTATGGTCTCCCTTGTCCAACATGTTGCTCTCCTTCTCATATTCGATCATGGACTTGACTGTGGTATAATTCTGTTCATCCTTGTTCACCAATTCGATCAGAATTTCAATCTTCTGCTTCAAGTCAGAGGAGACAAAGCCGAAAACAGTGCCCATGAGTTGGAAAAATCTGTTATAACAGAGATTCCAGTGTACGTATGTGACGGATAGAGGAAAACAGATGGTAGGAAGTGTTCATTTGCATACGTTTGCAAGGCCAGTTGAATGAAAGATTGTTACATGAATATGGACATTACACGTGGCATTGGCATTACGACAATGAAACATTTCTGGCTTCTAATTGGGCTATTGGCAGGAAGTAACAAATGACCATTAACTAGATACAATGCTAATCCTCCAGCTGATTACAGGTTATGTGCCACAAGGAGCATAAATATATTGTTGGCTTACTTGTAGAGTTCATTGTAGGCATCCAGGTAGGCTTTGAGATCAACGTCGTCCTCTTGAACGAGAGCACGGTCAAAGTGATCGTGGACCAGTCTCAGATCGAAAAACATCAATTCCGAGCCCTCCGCCATTTTCACGACACGGTATCGTATCAGATAATAGACGCCGACGAGCAACTTGCTTGCCACGCAGATATACCATGTCACGTTATCTGGTCGTACGTACCATGCTAATCTGAATGCAGCTATTGATAACGCGTTCCTAGGCCAACGAAAAATTTAGATAAGGTACTAACGAAATATCAGATCGATAAGCCAGCCTTTCAAAAAATCGATCACACTTTTGTTTCGTCCCAAATCTTACTCCCTTATCGATATTGAGCAATCTTTGCCCCGCAATTAATTCTTTCGACTAGAGGAAATGGACACTTTCAAAATTCGAAGTACACGTAATATACGATATAAATACTATTTACAACACTACGTCAACCGAACGATCCTGTTTCTCTTTTCGTGCCTACGGTTTACGTTATCATACGTGATGGTTTGAATCAGGGTAAGATAGGTTCAAGTGAAACTTGGTGACATTAAGAAAATTAATTACTAGAAAAATAGACAATTACGAGGAGAGTTTATCGTATAAAGTTGAATGGAAGAAATGTTTGTCAACTTGTTTCCAAACAACTGTTACAGTGACACGTGTTTGGAAGTATTCCAAAAAGTGGGAAGTGACACTGAGCGCTATCTTAAACGACAAACAAGTGGTCGCGAGATTGAAATCGTAATAAAAATTGATAAGATGTAGATCTACCATTACATCGGTAAAAAATACGGTAATTAGATAAAAAGGTATTATTTTATTTCGAACAAAAGAACATTTCATTCTCGTGGTTGATACGTGATCCATCGATCCTAGTTTCTTCAGAAAGTTCCAAGAATCATCGCGCGTGGCGCTGTAATCGCCCTTTCTTCTCTCCACTCCAACCTAATTTAATTTAAAATGAATGGCCGTTAAACATTCCAAACTTGTCTTTCACCTTACGCCCGTCGATTAATTACGCCAATCTAGGCTTGATTGTTCTCTCGACCGCATATTCATCTGCGTGAGTTCACTCGTGTGTCGAGAATACCGAATGTGGAACCGATGCGACGTTCTTTCTCACTCTACAGCGATCTTCCGAGACGAAAGGAATTACGTGTCAGTTTCTTTATCGACGTAACGCGTTCTTCTTTTTTCCGTATCGATCGTTACGAAATAAAATTATTTCTCCCCACTGTATCGCTTATTTGAGCGGCATAAGTACTTGAATGGTTAAGAAACAATTCTTGGCGACCGTGAACTTTGCGAAAAGCTCGCGCCAGCGAGTAGAATCTGTCGTTGCGTCATCGGTGACGCGCGGAGAACAATGGTGTACGGACAAAGAGTTTGAGAATCTCGCTGACACATAGATGTATGTTGGTAACTGGTGTCCCTGGGGGCGTTAAATAATTCACCGCAGCTGGGACCGAGGGTTAGGTAAGAGGCGAGGCTTGCGGGAGGGAGAAGGAGGCGAAGGTTGAAGGACCGATCAAATATTCACGTCTACTTCAACGCGGATGGAGCTAAGCAGCGTGGAGTAGAGAAACGTAACCGAGAAAAGAAGAATCTTCTGACTCTGATACGCGATTTCCTCTCTGAAAATCTTCCTCTGCTACCCATACGAATCGCTAAATTTCACCGGATGCGCTGCCAAATATTCCGGTCCATCCGGTATACACGTGCCTAAGCCCTTTTACTTTTTACGATGGTTACCCATATCCGTTTAACTGATCTCACGAGGGTTCGAGTAAAAGGACCAATCACGCTGAGGCGCATAAAAATGCGTCACTTGGGTGTTGTAAACTCGTCGATGGCCATTCTGGCCTGTCGACTTCGACGGTTGCCCGCGAATTCGGTCAGCTTCAGCATTTTTTCCTTTTTCCTCTTCTTTATCGATCATCCGTTAGGTCTCCGGGAGACTACAAATCTCGAAGAATTGTTCGACTGTAACAGTTTTATCGACGAGTCGATAATTGTGTGTTATTTACTCTTTCCTGTTCCATTCAAGACCGGATCACCCCTCGAACGACGAAACCTGATATCTTCGGAAGACAACTGGAGAAAGAGCGGGAAGGGCCCAGGAAAGAATTGGTCAACGAGGCGTGCTCCTCTCCTAATCATCATTCTAATTATCTCTCGGTAACCCAATCCACTGTTCGTGTCGCGCCTTGGCTTCCCGCTTCGATTCCCTCCTCGCCAACTTCTCCGTTCTCTCTGTTGCTCTTCGTTGGTCGGCACCCTGCCTGACAAATTTTCTACCCTCTCGAACAGTTGCTCGTCTCCTTCTTCGAAGCGATCGTCATCGTTTCTCCCTCGTTCCGTAGGCGTCTAGCCTTTTCCCTGTCCCTCGTTGGTCCCGCGACGCGAGGATCTCTCTTTTCTTCCGCGTCGAAGTCTAGCTGCGGGATTGCCGACGACCGCCCATCTAAGTTTAACAATTAACGGCCGGCTGGGGAAAAATAAATTAATTGCGAACTGGCGTCGCGTGTCAGGTACAGGCGGCCTAATCCGTCGGATCCGCTGCAGCTTCTCTGGAGTCTCGTCTGAAATCTGTACACAGTTTACGGTGAAACGTTTAGAGTTGCGCCAAGAAATGGTAAACGAGATACTCGAAAAATGAGACGGATGAATTGTTGTATCGTTCGTCGTATCGTTGTGACAATATTATCGACGAATAGACGAGGTTTTCCTGATTAAAACGAGCCCAAACACAACCTCCTTCGGACAGTTTTACATTCGAAGTTCGAAAATCGAAGCACACCCGGTATAACGCGTTCGATTAATAATTGCCCGAATGATGTTGTGTTTGAGCTCATTTTAATTGGGAGAACGTCAGCTGAGCATTAATAATACTCTTGCAAACGTGCAACGAGATATATAAAACCGATAATTCGACAAAGACTCGTTCTAACGAGATGTTTGTATAAACCGGAGACTTGTGTGCTGGAAAATAAAACATTCGGATGGTAATCGATGTTTGGAGAGATGTTAGGGAACAAAACTACCACCAGTTTGCTGATATTTCACGAAAGGAGGAAAGATCGCAGAAGAAACGCGAGTGACTGGTCGACAGAGAGACACCCTCGCGAATCTTTTCCGTCCCTACGAATCCTCCTTTTGTCCCGGTTGTCAAGGCTGACGGAGAATGCAAGCGTCGGGGACGAGGTATTTGTCATACGTCGATAGGCGTCAGGATTGACACACTCCGCGAGCGTGAAACGGAAGTGGCGTTTGGGGGCGGCGTCGATTGAAGGGTTCCGGGGGAAAGACAGATAAATATTTGAGGAATTTGTCGTCGCGGAAGACGTCGGCATCGGGAGACCTATCGCTTGTTTACAAGCCCTGTGAAAAAGGATTTCAGTCAATCCCCGTATGCAGAACAACCCGTAGGGGAGACTGCCGGTGCAGAATAGGGGTTGCAGATGTAATTATCGTGAGAAAACACGATCTTTCCCTCGATTGTACTGTAGGGACTTTAGATATGGTCCGTTGAAAATAGTAGCTGAAATATTGGCCCGATTTAGACGAGATTTAACAAGGAGGCACATGAACATGCAAATTTCCATTTGTTCCAACGCAAAAGTGGTCCGAACGTGACTGAAAAAACAGTTGAAAAATGCGAAGAAAATGTGTATATCGATCGGCAACAGAGAAAACTGCTAGCATCGCGATTCGAAGAGTGCAAAGGGAGGAACAGATCGGCCAGTTTCACGTCTGTCCACCGTGGGATAGAGTTCTACGGGACATGTACGTCGGATGTAACGGATCGAGCGGGAAAAGCCCAGGTAGCCGGCGTAAAACGAGCCCGGGAAGTTCATTAATGGATTAAGAGTGTGCCGCGATCGATACGATTAGCGGAGTGCCAGCACGGAACACGCATCGAAACTTAACCGTTTCATCGGCGTCGTCGTCGTCGCCGGCTTCGTCCACCGGGTTCCAGGTTTCCGCGCGGATCAATTTTTCCCGCGTGTCCTTTTGATTTATGGAAAACACAGGGAAGTCGCGATCCTCTCGATGCAGCAGTACCTGATATTATCGGGGTGAGATAAATAAATCTGGATTATCAAGGATTCTCTTCTGTCGAAGACATACGTTTCCAGGGGAGATTCGCGCAGCTCACCTGTGAACGAACGAAAACAAAAGAGAGGAGGCAAAAAATGGTAATAAAAAAGGGAGGGAAAAAAGGAAAAAACAAGGACGCAAGGCGATCTGTCAAACAAAGTCGATGGAATACTGCCGGCTGAAATATAGGCAAAGCTCTAAAAAGTGCTTCCTATACACGCACGTCACATGTCACACGATCTCGACTATACCCTGCTGAAATCTTCGGCGTTTACGTTGTTGCGATAATTGTTCAAGGGAGGAACTTATCCGTACGTAATAAGCAGAGAATCGAGGGTAATTCCTCGGTAGTACACGGTTCTGGCGACAGTTTCCTATCGATCACACAGGATTGATATGAGCACCGTGTAGCGTGTGGCCCCCGTAGACCTCGTATGGGGGCTGAATTTTAAAACTACCCCCTGGAGAGTGCCGGCGAGCTGGCGTGTCCCGTCTTTTTGAATCAGGCTGCTACACGACCGGTCCCGGTGTTGCGTGAAGGAGTACAAATCCCCGGGGACCACGCGTCGATACCTATTTCTGCGACGGAATCGACTGACGTTCAACTTGCAGCATATGTACCCGAGGAAATATACTTGAAATTTTCTCCCCGCTGCAATCTAATCGTTCTTCTTTCAAAAGTGGCACGAAATAAGAAAAATACCTCAGGACTTTGTCGAAAAGATGTTTTCAAACGAGGTTTCCAAGAGAATTCATTATTATCACCGTTGAATGGAAACGAATGTTAAATCTGGCAGAAGACCGGGAATCTTTCGAACAGAGAGGCCGTGCTCATTTGTCGGGAGAGAGTATGGCAGTCGTCGTCGTCGTTGCTTGGTGACCTCGTAGATTAAAGACGAGCGGCAAGTACGACGGTCCCAGGCGACCCTTTATGTCGAGCCACGTTTCTACGCTGCTTGAACTATATAGGAACGAAAGAGGGTGAAGGAGG